AAATGAATGCCACTTCAGTATCTTTCAGTATCCTGACTTGCAATTTGAACCAATTATTACGATTATATTGCAAAAATAGCTTGCATTAAAAATGCTAATTGCTTTGCAATTTTTGAGAAAAGTCAAAATAATTTTAGGTCACAATAGGTACAAAAAAGCTCCACAAAATCCCAGAGGGACCAATTTGTCTGAGCTGTGGTAAGGAACAGGAGCAGGGCGGCGGGATATTGTGAGTAGGCAGCTGGCATCGAGCCACATCTCACTGGGTTGTAGACCAGTGTTTTTCTAACTGTGAATCTGGCCCTAACATGGGTCACTGGTTGCTTCAAGTGAGCCCTCACAAGATGATGTTTTATTGAATGGGGATCTCAGGTTGAAACAATGAGGTTGCGAAAGGGGGTCCCATGTGATAAAAGCACTGATTTGCTCCTAGATGGCAAGATAAGGGAGTGCATTTAGTCACTGGACCATAAAGAGAGCAGCTCTGTTTCTAGTGAGGAATTGACTTATATGAAGCCTTGCTGTTGAGAAAGACATTTTGTCCAGTCACCACAACAGAAAACTGAACTTGAACTAAAAGTCAGTTTTGCTCTTTACCTGCAGAACATCTAGGTGCCTGGGTACATGGCAAACACTCCAAAATCTTAAAATTGTGGAATTTCATCTAATCATGACCTGGAGGCATACAAGTTCAAATGTGGCGACAAAGGTTTAACTGCACTTTCTGCCTAGCAGCAGCAGCAGCATCCGCAAGGGTTTGTGGGTATCCAGACTGCTGGCTGTTAGCCAAAATGTGAGTCCTTCAGACTAAAGTACTCGCTGTCTCTGCCTCTCACACCTACCACTTTCTGAACCTCATATTCTTTAGTCACAAACAGCTAGATTACATAACATACACCTGTCAGTCAGCAGTGTCTGATTTCAGCAGCACACAGCAACAGTTTTTTTCAAAGGTAGAAGAAAAGATAAAAGGAAGGAAGAAGAAAAACAACTTGTTTTCAAAGGACATGATAAATGGTTTAAAGATTTGAATGCACCAGTGGACATTCGTGTATCCTTCACATAACAATTTCATACAATGAATGAAGACATGAAGACAACTAAGAGCCAAAGTACAAAAATATGCTACAAAAATAAAATAAAAAATGTTAACATGCAGCTGTACTAGACCCATTTTAGAAATGTTAAAGAAAGAATGTCTGTACGTAAAGAAATACTGCATATTGCTCAAAACACACAGTATTTTATTATTGTGTCCTGGGGACCTTGGGATTTAAGTTGACCATGTAATACCAATGTCCCTGGTTCAAGTGCAGCCAGGGACCTTTGTTGCATGTCATGCCCTCTCTTTCTCCCATCATTTCTTATCAGCTCTCTACTGTATGCTATCTAATAACGCCAAGAAAAGGTGGCCAAATGGCATCTAAAACTCTCTCTCTCTCTCTCTCTCTCTCTCTCTCTCTCTCTCTCAAAAAGAACAAAGAATCTGTGTCTCTTAAACTCAAACACACATAGTGCATGTAGACAAATCCCTGGTGCACACGGCAATGGTAGAAAACTAAAATGAAAACTGGCCCAAAGCCTGACATTGGCTCTTTTCCATCAGTAATGTGGGACACTTGGAACAAAAACAAAACAAAAAAAAAAGGCTAAAAGTTGTGAATGTGAGTTATGGATATGTGCCAAACACAGGGGCTCTTGGCAAATCTGTTTATCCATTTGGAAAAAACAAAAACAAAGCAAAACAAAAACAAAGATAGATTGTGATTAAATAATCTGGTTTATGGAGATGCATGGTTGTTCAAAGAAAACTGCCTAATCCATCATCACTTCTTAGTTTATACTATAGCAATGAAAAACTGGCAAAGGGCTGCAAAAGAGAAAATTGTTTTAATCGTTTTAAACAAAAAGAGAAAATCTGTCTACTCTATTCAATTCTGTCAATACCTCTCAAAATTCAGTGTTTGTACCGACAACAGCACTACGCGAAAATAAGCAGTCCCCTCATTCATTTAACTGAATGAATGCATTGAGACTGTGTGAGGGATCCAGTAAAAAGCAGCAACAACAACAACAACAAAAAAAAACTGCAGGATTGCTGGTAAAAACCTGGCTCAACGTTTGCAACACTATCCGGCAAATAAATACATGTTCTGTGTAGTTTCACCTCAGCATCATTAAGACAAAAGATAAATTGACTGTTTGCTGAGAACAAAGGACTGGAGCACACTGATTAATTCACAGCCTTTAATTGTGCAAACAGACTAACGTTTTCATCAGAGTCAAAATAGAGAAAGACACGAGGCAAACAACAGATATAGTCAATTGGATAATTGGTTGAACAGGATTTCAAATCAACTGGATAACTGATCCAAGGGTATGAGTTGCCAATCAATGTCAAAGGCCTACAGTCCATGCACTTATAAACATCAGAAACAAAAGAACACCAATATATCTAAAAGTTAGAAAGATAGAAATGCAGGAAGTACAAGTACTGCATCTATCAAGTGCAATAAATTAGTTAATTAGGAAACACAAGAAATTCATTTAGGTCAAAAGGATTAAGAGTAAATCCAATGTGCCTCTCTGCAGAACAGTGAAATGTTAATGTCTCCACCTCTAGAGGAGGGTGATTTTTATCCAATGATTGTTCACCTGTTGACTATATATGTGCTTGCCTCATGTGTTCTTACATTCTGACTCTGGTGAAGACAGCAGAGTGGAAACATTTGTTTATTGGCTGCAGATCAATCCGTGTGCTCCATGTCCCTTTATTCCCTTTGGAAGTTCACTGTGACTTTATTGCCCTTAATAATCAATAATAAAAATCACATTAGAGATATCACAACATTCCTACCATACACTTGTTTGTTTTGTCTCTTATATGCCAATTTGCCTGATTCTGTTCAGTGCTGGAGTACATTTACACCTTTATAGTTCCTATCCACTACATTTTGGAGGCAAATATTACTTATTATTACTAAGCTTTTTACTACTCAGATACAGATTTGACATTAAAAAAACACGATCAGTTGATAAAATCATGTCTTGCTATAGATTAAACCAACTGTATGAAGTCGTTAAACATCCATTTTAATCAACTTCAACAATCAGTGCTGGAAAGTAACTTTTTCTGTACCAGCAGTTTAGTCAAGTTTATCCATTTTGCGCAACTTTACAGTTCAGATCCACATTTCAAAGAAAAATATTGCACTTGTTACTTCACCAAATGTATTTGACATAACTGCAACATAGTTGCCTTGAAGAAAAAGGAAAGAAAACCACTGCATATACACTGAATGTCGTCCCTACAAACAGACATCATCAGATCAATGTAACTCAATTAGAGAGGAGAGAGCAGAATGGGAACAACTCTGTGAGGTTTTAATCCTATTTCTGTCTCTCTTTCACTCTCTACTGATGCATGTAACATCTCTGCATGACTCAGTGGAGATCTCAGTCACACATGACTGTCCATCACAGCTCTGCAGTGGCACTCTGTGATGATAATAACAGTGACAAACCAGCTCTAACTGCAGTTAACAGCAGCCACAACAACGAAGCATCAGTGAAGACAAAGGCCTATCGAAAAATACTCAGGTCCATCCAAAGGGATCAAGGAGCTGTCCTTACCAGCTGTTTCACACATGACTCTTCAATAATTGACCCTAGAAAGTTTGAGAAGTCACTAAGAGTGTGCCAGTTCCCTAAATTAATCATCATAATAGACCTGGAAAGTTGTGTGGAGATGTTGCACCCTAGAGGCTGTTTGTGTTTACTGCAATTCTAATACTGACTGTGGTTTGTCCTTTTCTAGGCAGCCGAGTAAAGAAATAAGAGTAATTTTTGTTACTATACCGAAGCTATTTTGAGTGTTCAATTATGAGAAGTGACTGTGGTAGTCTTTGTATTGCACATGCTGAAGAAATTACATGTTCTTCTGGCTTATGAGTGGTACTAAAGTTCAACAGGGAGTAATAAAATTACCTCCAAACTTTCAGATCCCAAGCCTAACATTCAAACGTATCATTTTCAAATCAAAAATCAAGACAGATTTGTAAGTTTTAGCTTATTTATTTATAAGTAATTCGTGTTAAATATGCCAGCGGTTTGTGTGGCTGTGAGAGACGCTGTGTGCGCTGCATGTTGGTGTGTTGAACACGTATAGAAGAAACAGAGGTTTTGTTATGTGTGTGACATCTGTATGTGCACACTGACAGTCGGCTATATGGTCACTGTGGGCTCTTCATATTGGCCTGCTGAGTTTGCTCGTCCCTTTGTCACGTCTGAGCTGCTGCTGCTAGGATCAGCAGAAACACACTGACACACACACACAGCGGATACACACACACACACACACAGACATATATGCCTCCTCTGTCTCACAATCTGATCTGAACAAATTCACTTTTATCAGGAAGGTGCTCATAAAAATACATTTTATTATGATGTTATTTGTAATATGTCCACATGTATCTCTCTCTCTTTCTCTTTGTTGTAGACACAATTAGGGAATGACACACACACACATACACACACAGACAGAGTCTGGGCAATGTGCTGACCTCAGTAAGCCATTCCTAAATGTTTATTGTTCAGTGCAGCTAGAGGAGAGAGGAGGGTGCACACTCAGTTACCAGCTGCTCTCTCTCTGTTTTGTTCACTCTTGCTTACTTTAATGACACAGTGAAGAGCACTGTAAAATACTGTAAAACACACCTTTAGTTCAGATTTTTGAGATAAATTAAAGAAAATAAAAAGAAAGAAAAATGCTTTAAAATGGCAGTCAAAAGTATAAAAAGCAGCTCGACAGTGGTTCCCTCTTCTTTCGTACAATTACCACCTTATTTTCCCTGTGTAACAATAATCTATTCAAGCTGGCAATTGAGGCTCAGTCGGTGCCAAAGCGCTGCCAGTCCTGCCAGTGAGGCCTTTCAACTGGTGCCATTGCCCCCCGCTAACCTTCATTGTTAAATTAATTCACTTGTACAGGTTTTCCAAAAATAGCAACAGGTACTTTCATTCACAACATTTTAAATCAAAAAGTGAAAACAGGAAACACAGCGTCATATTTTAACTCTGCTGGTGTTTACAGAGAGGGTGAGTCAGGCTAGTTTTAGGTGAAAGATTCTGTATACATACCAGACTCACGATGGACTGCAGCTGCCATTTGAATATTGATTAAACTCCTTTTACTCTATTTACAACAATCTCATTCTTCTACACCCTCCATGGATTGCTGTATTTTTTTAAGATCAATACAACAGCCTGATTAGATTCCCAACACAACAGCCGTCTTCCTATTTCAAGTTCAGTGTGTTTATGTCATTGATCCAGTTTGCACAGCCGTCATGAAAGTTGGTATTCAAGTTTCAGGAAATTAGATTACTGTTGAAATGCATTTTCAAAATGAACCAACAAAGGGTGGAGACCAACAATTGATCTGAAACAAACAAAATAATGATGTCTGATACGCATACTGCACATTAATGAGCAGGGACACTGGGCGTCAATCAGAGTTGGGGGCGCTGAGTCCAACACAGTCTTTACAACAACATCATACAATTAACACAGATTAAAAAAAAACTAAATAAAACCTCTAGCCAGTGTACTACACAATTAATTACAGACAGAATTTTTTTCAGCACGCCCACTTCCTGCGTCTGTATTAATCAGTGTCAAGCATGTGACTGGTTGAATAATTATAATTAACTAATAACTACTAATAAGATATGACTTTTATTAACTCATTCATCCTTGATTAATATTGTGTATATTCTTTTATTTGTTGAGTTTTTGTAACAAAAATCAGGGATGTCTCCAAGGCTACCTGAAAACCTCTTTAAGATAACATTAACATGACGATAAAAGACACAAAGTTTACTTGTGTATCTTTTTATTTGATAAATCTCACGATATTTATGCTTTGAGTATGATTACACGAAATTGAATCCGATAATTTATGATAATGGCTTTATTAAGTGCACACAAAAAAAGCACCATAGCATTAAAAAACACAAATAATATAAACAAAAATACATTAAGAAAAACACAATCAATACAAAGCAATAAATATGACACTTCATAACATAATAACAGTAATAAGCTAATTGCTCACATACTAAATGAATAAAAACAGCAACATAAAATGTTTCACCACTGAACTGCACTTTTATATAGACCTATTTGATAATAGATACTGGTGGGGAAAGCTACCCTGTTTTTTTCCCCAACATATAGATTTACCACAGAAGCATAGGTAATGCATTATAGCAGTGTGCCCTCTTTGTGTTTGCATGAATCACTGTGTGTATGTGTGTTAACCCCTCTGTGGCTCACACAACAAAACAATGGAGACCAAAGCAAAGTGCTGACATGAGTCCAGGCGTGCCTGCCCCCCGGCCTCTGGCACCCTAGGGTGTATATATACCCCCATACACACCATCTCTGCAGACCGTTCAGTGGAACACTGCGACACACAGCTCACCAGTGTTTTAGGTAGGTCAAACTAGTTGAAAATACAGTACAGTTTCCCAACCTATGGACATGATGTAGTAAGGGTCTCTAATGCAATATATTAACTAACAAGAGCAAGTCTACATTGGTCAGAGTGAAGACAAAGTCGCTTGTTTGTTACCTTTACTGTAAATAAGAGAGTCAGTTTGTAGCAGATAGTTAAAACAAATCAAGAAAAGGAAATAGGAAGGTTGTAGGCATATACTGTAGTCTCCTGGGAGTCCTGGGAGTTAACTGTGTGATATAGTGAACAGTGAAGTACAAACCTTAGAGAAAACTAAAATGCCGCCCAGAGTAGTTGACAGAATGAAGAATAGGTGGTTAATTAGATGGTGTCAGACTATTATACATGTTTGTTTTTTAACAATTTCTTACAACCCTGCCCTGACTGTGTTGATTTCCCCACAGGTACTGCTGAAACAGACGACAAAATGGCCCAGATTAACCCTATGCCCATGGGACCTTGGAAGGTAAGCATATGGCGTACATGCTTAGACTACATTTCCTATCGGCACAGAGAGCAGCAAGATACTCAGCTGTATTAGACCCGTCTTCATTCATCCTTCTGTGTTTTGCAGATCACTGTGTACGATCAGGAGTACTTCCAGGGCAGGCGTATGGAGTTCACCGCCTGTTGCCAGAACATCATGGAGTGCGGTATGGAGAACATCCGTTCCCTGAAGGTCGAGTGTGGCGCGTACGTATCCCCTTTTCCTCACTTTTGTAAATGCTAGGGCTGATTTAAAAACTTAAATGGAACAACTTTAGACTGGCTGATTTTGTATTTCCTTGTTTTCTGACTTTATTATTTTTATGCTCTGCTTACAGCTGGGTGGGCTACGAGCACTCCAGCTTCTGCGGCCAGCAGTTTGTCCTGGAGAAGGGAGACTACCCCCGCTTTGAGGCCTACAGTGGCAGCAACTCTTACCGCATTGAGAGGATGATCTCCTTCAGGCCCATCTGCTGTGCTGTAGGTTCAATATACAACAGTAACAGCGCTTTATTCACTTTAGGCTGAACTGTACCTCAAGTTGTGCTAAACCTTCTTTCTCCTCCTTTGAACAGAACCACAAGGAGTCCCGCATGACCATCTACGAGATGGAGAACATGATGGGTCGTCAGTTCGAGCTGTGTGACGATTACCCCTCTCTGCAGGCCATGGGCTGGTTTAACAACGAGGTTGGATCCATGCACATCCAGTGTGGAGCGTAAGTCCGTCACCATGACGTTTGATGCACAACAAAGCTTTACACACCTTCAGCTAGTCCTGAGCAACAGCTTCAGACACACACTGGTTGGAAATGCTGCACCTTCAGCTACATACATCATTATTTGAATCCATGTTTGCTTGATTGGTTTAAGTGTATGCTATGATTAACAGCATGTTCTTGTTTATTCTTGCAGCTTTGTGTGCTACCAGTACCCTGGCTACCGTGGTCACCAGTACATCATGGAGTGTGACTGTCGCGGTGGAGAGTACAAGTGTTACCGTGAGTTTGGCTCCCACTCCCAGACTCCCCAGATTCAATCCATCAGGAGGATCCAGCACTAAGAGGGGAGCGCTTCCTTTACACTTCCTTATCTCCTCCTCCTCCTCCTCCACATCCTCCTCCTCCTCTCCCTCCTCCTGCACTTCCATCCCTCCTTCTCTTCCTCCTCTACCCCAACCTCCATCTCCCCGGCTCCATTGGTCCGGCTAGTCTAAGCAGGATCCTGGGCTGGAGTTCAGGTGCTTACTGGTGTCAGTTGTTCACAGCACTTTTTTTTAACGAAACATCACAAAAGAAAGGAAAGATGTAAGAAAGACAGAAAATAGGAATGACAGAATTGAGAGAAAAAGCTGAATCAGTTTGAAAGAGAGGCCTCATCTGCCCGAGGTTGGTTGCAGAACGGTGAAAACATCTCAAAGTTTTTGCTCTTTTTCATCTCCACTATTGATGGCATCATCATCATCATCATCATCAACATCATCATCATCGTCATTGTCTTCTACATCAACACGATCACCGGTCCTGCTGTTACTGTGATATCCATGACTACCTATGTTCAAGACGATGAATAAAGAGAATGAGCAAAGAAACAGAGAGATTCACAATACATGTACCTCAATCACATCTGTGTCTTGTCTTTCTCTACTGACAGCACTGGTGAGCAGCAAATGGCTCAAATTATAATAATCAACCTACAAAACATGAACTTATTTGGTGACTCCCTTGGGCAAAAAGTCAAAGTATGGATGAGAATTAACCTCTTCCAACCCGACTGACCTGTCGTAGGGTTGTCCATATCCATGAAACTTAATTTTAAGTTTCCAAAAATACCAAATATGTAAGGCTGAATTTTGGGGAAATGTATATAAAATGGTGCACAACAAGAAACAAACATTGTGTCAAAGGATTAAATATTTCAGTACAATTCATATTGCTTCAACAAAGAGCTGAGATGAGTCGATACTGACTGTATAAGATACCGTCAAACAATGTGGAATTAAATGCTTTTAACAACCTTAAGGCCAGTTAAGGTGAAATTAAAGGTAAAAATAAGACATTATGGGGTTAAATTTCCACACAAACTGCATTTGGATGGGTTTCACCTGCCTTGTTACACTCTATGTGTGCTGAATACTAAACCACGTAAAATGATTTTAAACACCTGTTATACTAAGATGGACGGACAAACAAACAAACATTAGAAAGAAACTCCTCCTCTCCTGTTTTGAGCCATGTTTGTGACAATATAAGAAATGTATACAAGTCTCAGTCTGCCTCAAAATCATCCCTAATAGTGGAGAAAACCCTGGAAAAAGAGGTTTTGCTGTCTACAAAACGACTGAGCAGGCACGGTGTGTAACATGCTGACACAGGCTAGAATCAGACTGATGTTGCAAAATAATATATCATACTCCAGAGGCAACATTTCCATATGTTCCACCTGCATATATAAGCAGAAATGTTGTTTCATTTTCTTGTTATTTTCCAAAACTAATTTAGCTGAAAAGTAATGATGGCTGAATACTGTGAAAGCTTTTTAAAAGTAGGAAAATGTTCTTTTTACTCCACTTAAATGATCTAAGAGCTATAGTTAATTTACAGATTTCCATTTCACATAAAAATGTAATGAACAGTAATATAATATTGACTATAAAAGTAAGGTAGTTAAATTAGCTCCAACTCAGCCATCTACCAAATGAAAATACTGCTGATACACTAATGCACAATAAACCAGTAAGAGCATAATAACAGCTATAAAGTGCTTTTACTTTAGATATCTAAAGATGATTTACTGAGAACACTTCTGTTCTTGTACTGTGTCTGTGAAATCTGAATGCAGAACATGTAATGAGGTCTTTTATATTGATATTTCTGCAACAAAGACAGGACATCATCATGGAGCTACATCATGGAAAGCACTTCAAGACCGTTTCTCCAGCCGTGAGTGTATTTCAATCATTAAGCAATAAGCGTATTAGCCCTCCGATATCGCGTTTCACGTTTTAACCCTCGGGACAATAATGTGAAGAGCATGCTCGCAGAGAGTTTATTGATTTGCTTCAGTAAGTGGTGCACGTTTGCGGCCGGAAACCACCAGAGGTCGCTGTGGCTCGAAAGAGATTTGCGACAGTCGGGTTCCTCTTTACGGCTGACGATGACATGTCAACAACAAACATGGCAACCAGCAGCAACTACTGGGAAGGTAAATTATGTTACAGCGTTTCATTTAAAAACCACAAGGTCTGCACGGTCATATCTTATTGCCCTGTTACGTGTATCGCAGTACGTTAGGTTCAGACACTTTACATGTTATTTATTTATTTATTTATTTATAATAAGCAGGGCTGGTTGTGTGGCTAACCTGTTAGCTGGTGAGCGTCAAACTTGAAGAGTTAAGTTGTTGTTGTTGTTGTTTATTACCGGTCATACTGCTGCCTTATATCATACCAAAGTGTGTTTAGTTTACCGTGGTTGTTTGTGTCTCTGCTACCTGTTGGAAAAAAAGTGGAGAAAAAAGTAAAACAAAAGCATAATCACTCAAAGTTTCCCCCCTTAATGAGGGTCTGACAGTAAAACAAATGTGAATGTCGGTGTGAATTGTTTTGTTAAAGTTCTTAAATCCTTAGCTCACCCTGATGTTTGCACCTGTTGCCAGTGTTGTTCTCCAATCACATCGATTAGCTCACTAATCAAACAAGGTTTTCACTGCACATGGCTTTTCATGTTGTAATGATTGTGAAGCAATAATCCTCCCACAACGTGCTGATTCAATCCACAGAGATTACACAGAATGTGTACAAGATTGAATGCTATTACTCAGAAGTGAGAGTCCCAAATTGTATCATTTAAATACTCAACATCAGCCCATTTGTCCTTGTTTGCCATATTAAAAGCGGTGCTATGCTTGGCTTGTGTGTCTTATATCCCACTGACAGACTTATGATGTGATGTTTATATGATGCCTGTATTTAATGATTTAGTGTTGCAGATTTTAGTTTTTAGTCTCTGATATTTCATTTTTTGTCAGATATGTAATGTTTGCCTCCATACTAAACATTTCCGTTTCTTCACTCAGATTTGCGTAAACAGGCCAGACAGCTGGAGAATGAGCTGGACCTGAAGCTGGTCTCCTTTAGTAAACTCTGCACCAGCTACAGCAGCAGCAGCAGCCGGGACCAGCGGACAAGAGAGAGGTCAGCAGCTCCTTACCTGACCTCGGATATACATAAATACCTGTAGGACATCTGGCTCAAATGAAGTCTGCTCTGTTTGTTGTTTCAGAAGCTGTGGAAAATCTGTGTTTATTTGTTTTATATTGACATGTATTACTAACTTGGTTTTGTATTTAACAAAGTAACTGAGGGGCAACAGAACAACATGAAGAAAGTGTTTACCATTTTGAGCACTGGCCACTAAAATACATTATTCTTATCCTCTTACACTTTAGAAATTGTTGTAGAAATGTATTTTTTTCTTAAATAAATTGTGCTGAACTAGACTGTGCAACTTGAACTTCAGCATCCTTTCATTTTCTTTCTTATATCAGGTCTGATTCTATTGGCCCATCTCAAGACACTATGCTCGGGGCCCTGACGACTGAGCTGGAGCAGCTATTGGCTAATGTAAGTCAAATATAACGATTGTACTGTTTAATCGCTAACATCCATAGTTGACGAGGGTTTACGGTTCCCTTCAGTAGCAGTGT